TCAATGTAGTCAAAATCGCGCTTTAAAACTTAAAAACTTATGATTTTACGTTTCTATTTCACTTAAACGCTTCCACACAAAATCTCAGTTTTTATAACTTATGTAGTTAAAAACTCCGCTTGAAAACTTAAGAACTTACGATTTTACGCTTCTTGATCACCAAAATGTTTCTACGTAGAAACTCGCTTTTGACTACATAGACTGTCACATAAGAAAAATCAACAGAGACTAATGGAGAGTGACCAAATTTGAACTGTTGAACTAATTTTAGTGACCATGAATGAAATAAAATAATTTTAGTGGCAAACGTGAAATTATTTGATAATTCCAGTGACCAAACTTGCAATTTACTACTTTAATAATGCAACTAACTTGTTGAAAAATTAGCGAGAAGATAGAATTGAAACTCTTTTCGCAGGCTTACCGGCCTGCCAATGGCTTTTTTGGCCCGGTGAGATGCTAAAAATGTGCCCACATAATGCTAAAACTGAACAAGATGAACAATGCTCATAATGTTAAACATAATTCAGTACTATATATTAAAGGTTTGGATGAGAATAATTGTAAACATTAGTGTAAAGTACATATAAATGATCTTTATATAGCCAAATAGTGAATAAAGGCCTTGTAGCACTCACTGAGAGTGAGAGCATGAGAAGTGTTCACCTCCTAGTCTTGTTGAATGAGCTTCTTGAACTTTTGGGTCAGGTAAAATGCTTCATTCAAATTCTTATGCTCATCGTTAAAACCAGTTTTAATATCTCTTTCTTTGAGAGACTGTGACTACAAGTCACTCGTCAAGCCCATTCAAATTCTTCTAATAAAATGCAATCCCTTGATAACGGAGGTTATTTGTGAGGGGGGCGGGAGGTGGTCTGATGAGAAGCTTAGTCAATGGTTTGACCCGCCCACCTGTAGGGCTATTAAAGCTATTCCTCTCCCGAGATGGGATGTGCCTGATAAGCTTATCTGGCATTTTACGGCGGATGGGGTGTTTTCGGTTAAGTCGGCTTACCATTTGGCTGTCGACTTGGACAGGAAGAGGGGTGGATGGCGGTCCTCGGTTAGCTGGATGGATAAGCCGAGTTGGATTAGAGTGTGGGAGGCGAAGATCCCTCTGAAGTTGAAAGTTTTTGTTTGACAAATTCTTAATCGGGCTCTGCCGACCACAGAGGCGCTTATTGAGAAAAAGGTCCAGGTGCTACCTCAGTGTCCAGGTTGTTGGGAGGGCCCGGAGACGATGGAGCACTTGTTCCTTTATTGTCCGGTGGCACGGGCACTCTGGGACTATTAAGGACTGGAATATTTGGGGGAGGGTTTGCCTCGACACACTTTTCCTTTGTTTCTTAAACGTCTATTGGCGCTTATTCATCACCGTCCATGGTTATGGCTGTTGTGGCCATCCTTTGGAGGATCTGGCGATCTCGAAATTGGGTAGTCTTTGAAGGCAAGCAATTTGGGATCCCGGTTCTCATGCGTCAGTTTAACCAACAATATGAGGAATGGGTGGGCCTACCGACGGACCAAGTTCCTAGGGTGTCGATCCCGGTGCTGCAATCTCCAATTCAAATGGGTGATTCCCAGATAGTTTGCATGTGGGACGGGGCTACGAAGGGTGGGTCGCATTCGGCTGGTGGGATGGTTCTTTTGGATTCAGAGCGGGCACTCCTGCTGGCTAGAGGGGTTCAGTTTTCTCAAATGGATGATCCTATGGTTGTGGAATTGCTTGTGCTCAGGGAAGCTATTGTTTGTTGTATAGAGCTAGGCTTGTCGGAGGTCCGGTTTGAGGGCGATGCGAAGGTGATTATCGACAAAATTAATCAAGCCGACATAAGAGATAGTCGGTTGGGTGCTGTTCTGGAAGAGATTAGCCATCATTTTAGTACTCAATCTGGCTTTAGTGTGCGTTTTGTAGGTTGGGAGAACAATAGGGTAGCTCATTTGGTAGCTAGGAAAGCCCTTTCTTTGTACCCGACTATAAGTCGCTTCTTTGATTTCCAGACTTGGCTGGTTTCCAGTAGGAATGGCAATGGTGCAGGTCCGGGGCGGGTTTCTTGGTACCCAGACCCGCCCCGTGGCAGGGCGGGTCCAGGTCGGGTAATTGATCACGGGTCGCGGGTCGGGGCAGGTTGACCCAATGGGTATGCAATGTATTTGAAAAACATTAGAAATATTCGTTATTTTAATTATAAAACTAAGAAAATAAACAATATTATGACAATTGTAGTTAAATTATTGGAGAAATTGAGATTTTCACTAATTTACACCTTTATTATAGCTAAAATATGATGCGATAAAAGTAAAGTTCAAAGTAATTTGACTAAGATTTCATGTAATTTAGACAAGAACGGGTCGAGAATGGGGCGGGTCAGGGCAGGTCGAGTCGATGAGACTACCCATGCCCGCCCCGCCCCAAAACAGGTCGGGTAAAACGGGTCAGGTCGAAATTGCCATCCCTAGTTAGATAAGATTTGATATAATTTATGAGGATAAGTGCACTATAATGACTCTTTCTATATTTCCGCGCCAAACCGGGCTAAAACGGTTGACCCATTAACCCTTGACCCACTAGCTAGACCGGGTCCGGGTCAACCTGCGGGTTGACAACCTTACACAAATAGAACTATGAGCAGATAGTTGGATTGAGTTTAACAACTAACAAGAAATAGATAATTGAAGAGGGAGAAATGTTAACAATATAAAGTCAGCAATGCTCAGACCAATAGCAAATCAACAACCATTCCCTTTTGTTAGTTTTATTTTTTGCTCATAATAAAGGAAAGTTATTTAACAGCACCATTGAAGCATCACATTATTTAAGAATCATATATGCTACAAAATTATCATTGTCATTTTGATTTGCTCCCCCACAACGACCGACGCGGTCATAAATGTGATAAGAGGACCAAAAAGGACATCGCAACTAACATAGTTTCTATATTTATCGATGCATGGCTTCAGGTCGAGTTACATAATCACATTTGGACCCTTAGTTTTAAGTGAAGTTAGATGTAATGAATCAGAAATTAATAATTTTTTATTTTACTTTTTTTAATTTCTTAATGGGTGTTTTTTTTTTCGTTCTAACTTAAATTTCAATTTTTTACCTAGAAAGAAAGGGTTCGTTATGATCTACAAAATTATATATTTTTTCAGAATATTTTGAGCAATAAAAAGTTCATACCATCCATGTCACTTGTTACCACCCTAGTACCACCTCATATCACTCGGTACCACCTTCGTTTCTAACTCGAATATTGAAAAATTTACTCGAACGGAATGAGTTCTTAGTGATCTATTAGATCTACAAATTTTTGGGGGGAAAAATTAAGGACAAAAAGTACCACCCTATACCACCCTGATTCAAAGGTGGTAACTAGGGGTTTACGACTTTACGTTTATGAAAGGTGGTAAATGACGGTTGATATATTTTTACTATCGTGTATGCAAACATTCAACACTGTAGTGTGTTCATACCAGCATGATACAGTTCCATACCAAGTGGTATAATCTTATGTACTTACCAAGTAGTACCATATGGTATGGACTGGTAATAAAAATGTCAAGTTTTTTGTTCCAAATTATATCAAAGAGGATGTCATTTGAAAAGCACAATTAATCTGATCTTTCTGTACATATTTTTTTTAAAATTTCAACTAGAAGAAAATAAACATAGCCTATTAAAATTTATTGGAAGAAAAGTTAGTAGTTCTCTATAAATGATAAGCATAAGATTATGTATAGTTATGCACCCTTAAATTATACAGGAAACCGCTACCATTGACTTTTAGAATAGTTTTATCCATTATATCGATCTAATTTACTGTAAGCCCATCATCCATAATAGATGCCTTTTTTTACAGTCATTATAGATGCTTGTTGATGTCACATTAATTGATATCAAGTTAGGAGTTCTAGTTTCTGATACATTTTGTTTCATGCCGTTTCGAATGTGTATTATTGATTGGGTTGTAGTGTCTCGTATAATTCATGCAAAACAAGGTCCGTAAGAGAATTTTAGTACTTTGTTGATACTTTCATCTTCAAGTCATAATAATTTCATGAACGATAAAACGTCATCTTTGAGGTTGTAGTAGGTCGAATGTACTATCACCAACCCATCTTTCGTCAACCGCGTTCATGGTTGAAGCAATGTTTGATATCTACCCACTCGATCATTTCACAAGAAATCAATATCGAATTGCAGTAAATTGGTTATTATATATGTTCTATAGCCTATATTCTTACCCCAGAAATGAAAGGGTCGATCAGTTTACCTAAATGAACCTCAAAAAGCGAGGCTGGAAAGGACCAAACAAGCAAGTGGCCCAGGATCACATTTCAAATTTGGTGTTACTTGACAAATTGGTCTTGGATTATATGGGAACCCATATGGTCCACGGCCACATGACACACAAAAAAGTCGTAATAAATGAATTGCCTAAAACCAAAAGGGCATGTTCACTCATTCATGACCCCGACGTCTTGACGTGGCCTTCACTTATCTTTTGTGGTACTGAACACTATTATTCGTAAGATCCAGTGCTCCTCAATGGCGGAGCCAGAGCCAATAACAGCGACGGGAGTTCAGCAGAATGATGCAAAGCAAACAGAAAAAGAAGCCCCAAAGGTGATTGAACAGCCACATCAAGGTGAAACCAAACATCATCATGTTAATTGTAATCATCATGTATATAGAAGTTACAAGCTGCTATAGGACTAACAAGTATGTTAGTGTACAAGCAAAGTGAATAAACAAAATTTCAGCTCTTTATATCAAGATATGAGGAATGGGAAAACCCTATATAATCTAATCTATCAGCTTCAGTTCACAGGTGTATCAAGTATACAAAACGCAACCTGCGCTGAATCGATGCCTGAGGTTTATTAGAAGATATGTTTCAAGAGTAAAGCTCCCAAGCAAACTTACCAGATTGGAGGAGAAGGATGATTGATGATTTAATACCAAAATTGATGATTTTTACCACACGGTATCTTCATTATCTATTCAAAGGCTCTAACTGGACTTCCATTCTTCCAGAATCTTGCAACCCTGTTTTGGCAGAAGCCCTAGTTGGGTTCAGGAGATCAATAGAATCATCTTCTTGAACATGACCCAGCACCCAGTTACTTCTTCCCGCGTATAATCTGTCCCTTGTTCTCTTCCTGGCTCTATATTCAAGATACAATAACAGCAACCCTCCAATCAGGAACCAAGCTATCATTGCCCAAATGTAACCACCAACGTTTTCCCCTCCATATCTATCTCCCAAATGTTGCATCCCTGTGAACACCGCAATGATCCCGAAGATGATGGCAGACCTTCCAACTATAGCATGGAAGTATTCCCACATAAGCCTTTTCCTGGTAACTTCTCCATTACCAGGTCTTTTGGGCCTCATGAAAGCATTCACCGGTTGGGCGCATGCCAAAGATATAGCAGTTAGCCCAACCTTAACGTGCAATGAACTCACATACAGGCCGTGAAGTTCAGCTACTGCAAAAAGAAAGCCGAGCAAGACAATGGCCAAGCCTGAGTACTGCAAGTAGACATGAATCCGGTACCAACCATCACCCTTAACCTGCTTCAAGTATCTAGCTGCAAGAATACCACCAGGGAGTAAAATACCCCAAGCAAGGAACATCATGAATCCATGCACAGCCAACACCGGTCGAATATCTTGCTCTGCTTCTGTTGATCCACCCATGAGTAAAACACGCATGGGCCTTTGACTTGTTGCTGAATGCATGTTCTCCTCACTCAGATGCTCATCTGACCAACTAGCACCCAGTGCCCACACAACCTTAAGAGGACTAGTGGGATCGATAATGTTGTTGCACTCTACCTGGCCAACACAAGTGGGGTTCAAGGGCCTTGTGAACTCTAAGGTAATGACCCCGTTCTCAGATTTGCACCTAACATGAGTCAAATTCTCATTCGTAGCATGCACACTCATCACTTCCTTTCCATCAATCCAATATGTTTTTACATGCCCTTTTCCTTCATCATCAACCCAGCCAACATAAGCAAAGCTGTTCACCATCCCATCACCAAACCCTATTGCAACATAACCACTTTTTTTCTCTCCTCGAGCTGCAATCGATATGGTTTCATCGGACATTGTCCAAAAGAAGGTTACTTGCTGATCATCTAGGAAAACACTGTTGTTGTACATATCAGATAGACCCCCATCAACAACCTGAACCCTCCATCCCATTTTCTGCTGATACAATGATTGATAGTATACTTGATCAGGTGTATTCCTATCTGGCGCCCAAACTAAGTCCATTGGATCAGCTGGAACACCCTCGGCTTCAGGCCCTCCTGCATAGATGGTTTCAGTGGTGTTTCTCAAAGTGGCATTCCCGCCAAGCAAGTCTGAAGTTATATACAATGCAACATCGTGTCCCGCTTCCATAGAGAAAGTTACAGGTACACCTCTCTCAACTCTTAAAACGGGAGCTTCCTTATTATTAATGTAAAATACCTTTGCTGGGTTGGGCGGATTAGGATAGTGTAGTGCAGGCCCAGAAGTAACAACAAGAGGCACGTTTCCATCTGCAATTATCAAATCCTGATCTTCCTTGTCTGCAGCATCCAATGGCCCAACACAATCATTCACTTTCTCTGATACATTAAGCAGTAGATGCCCGAAAGTTACATCCTCTGGACCTCCATGATTCTGAGGAAGGTAATAAGGTCTAAACGAATCTGGCGGCCTCATCAGACCTATAGCCCAGATCACGATCATCTTTTGTGTGTAATTCACGGGCAAATCATACTTCTTATCTATAGGAATCAAAGGCCTCCTGTACCTAACAAAGGACACACCATCCTTCCTGTGGCCATAGATGGTCTGGGTGTTGTTCACCAAACCGACTGGGTCTGATCCTGCGAATATGGTATCAGGGCAAACTCCATCAGCTGAACCATCCTCGTTTACAGTACATTCACCATACTTTGTAATGAAAAAATCATCAGCAAATGGCCATCCTTCCTCAGTGAACCCAGCCACAGCTACATCAGCACCAATCATTAATTCTGAATTGGACTTATGATTGGCCCATCCAAATGCCATATAATTCTGAATACCCATAGCTGATTCCAATCCTATGTCGATGAAATTCTTATTGGCACTCAGACTCCACCTTACTCGATAGTCTTTAGTCAGTACCTTGCAGTTATCAAACATTGTTGGCGTAGTGAAGATCCAACCTTTCTCTTTAACTTGACTAGAATTGTTCTCAGATGGCATTGTAGGGAATACAGGGTTTAATGTGGAGGCTAGAGCGGACTCATTCTTCAGAATAATGTGTCCAAAATCAGAGGCTGTGGGAATGTCCCACACCGAAAGGACTTGGATCTTCTCCCAAGTGACATTTTTGCTCAATTTAACAACAAAAGATGCATTTTTATATGTCTCGTTAAGCTTCTGATTGGAGACCACAAAGCCCTTGGTGAGGTTGACAAAATCAGCAGCACTGGCTCCCCACCAATGAACATCCAGGCCTGATAACATGTCGAATTCAGAAACCCTGAACGAGCAGTCGTCAACTATGGTCATCACTCCACGAAGCTGGTGCTGCACCATGGTGAATTGGGATTCAAACCCAATAAAGGAGCTAGTTTTGGGACAGGACTGACCCGAATCAGCAAGGCAACCTAGAAACAACAGACTGATCACAGACCTGCAGCAGAATGTTCTACGTGGTAAGAAAACAGCGAGAGTGGGCAAACAAGTTATGATAATGCAGTTTGCAGTCTAAGACATATTGAAGTGCTAATTAGTAATTACAGCACTACAGTATACAACTGCAGTGCATATATTATTAGTGATCAGGGAAAACCTACAGACAACCTTGTACATTCTTGCGTCCAGCATAGCAAATGACATGTGAGCTTCTTTTTACAAGAATAGGAAAAAGAGAAAAAGGTAATCCAACCTCATTAATAGTTGAACAAACAAAGCTCTTAGACTTCGACTTAAACAAATTGTTTTTATGGATCTTTCTCCCTCTTTCCTCGTATTAATGGGCTCTGAACTTTCTCCTGAAATATAAATAAAAGATCTGATCATACGATTAAAACCTCACCACCAATCATCTACGAATAAAGCTTCAGAATAAAGGTTACCAAGATCACTATTTCTGCAACACTTTCTCCCAGTCTGACTTCCTGATGAAGGTTCCGCATCATTCAACACAACTTCATCACTGTCATCCTCCCCATTGCCCATATCTTCTATACCAGCAAGCTCATTATCATCAACGGACCCCATCTGAGAACATTTGAAGCTCAACATTTATATCCCAACTCCAAGCAATATAAGCAGTTGCTGCTGTGCCATATCAACTAGGAGATATAAAACCATAGAAAACCTTTTGTAATGAAAAAAGAAAAGAGCAACAAGCAAATATAAGAACCATGTTGTTCTAACTGCTGTAAAGCAAGGATGATAAAACCCTAGAGGCTTCAGTACAGTGGCACTGTTGCACAGAATGCTCTCATACAAATGTGCCAATGCAAAAATGTGAGAAACCGGAAGCTAGAGCATCATATCTCGCTTTTCTGAAGCACTATATCACAATAAGTCCAACGTATGAAAATTGGGAAAACCTTTTAGTCTTATCTAATCGAAGTTCAAGAATGACATTTGACAAACGATTACAATTTTACAGTCTTCTAGTCGAAGGTTTCCCCACATCAATAAGAAGGGTTGTTCACCAGCAATTTCAATCAACACAAGAAATCATCATTCATGGTTTCCCCGGCGTTGCCACTAGCAACGGCAAAACCATTGTTTCTCTAGTGTAGAGCTTGTCCATCCTTTGAAGTGGAATGGTGGAACTGAGAAAGCCATTCAATGCTACGATAAAAGCTAGCCCAGGAAATTCTGCCATAGTAAGAAACTAAAGCTGCTCCTTTTTTCAAGCAAGTCCATTCTGCATTGGGTTTTACTAGTGAAACAAATTTGTCAAAGGAGCATGAACAATAACCCACTGAACGAAGAGGCGTAGCATTTAGAAAGCACCAAACTTTATACACCTAGAACCCAGGTTTTACACCAAGGATAGATATCAACCTTATGGGCAAAGAACATTGCAGATGGTTAAGGGAAACAATTCATCTGAAGCATGCAATTGATATAATAGGTCTAACCCATGAGACCAAGAAGAAATGGAAGCTAGAAAGCAACAACTGAAGCAACAATAACAATGTAGGGAAACAAACCGCAACAAGTGCCACGGGCAGCCGAGGGTTGGATCGATCTCCGGCGAGCTCAGCCAACCGGACGTTCATAAGGTAAAGTCAGGAAGGAGAAGAGAGGAAGAGTAGGTAGTTATTGTTTTTTTCCCGCTTGATCCTCTCGGTGGATTGACAAAGGAAGGAAAGAAACTAACTCGAAGAAAGGAGGGAGAATTAACCGAAGTGGACGAGAGGATTGCCGGATCTGGGGGCATCGATTCAGATGAAAGTTTTGGTGCCTGGAACCCCCAAAAGGCAATTTGCCCCAGATCGCTAGTAATTCCTCTTCCTTTTTCTCGTTTTTTGGTGAGACATCTAATTTCCCTTTCCTTTACTATTAATTTTGTTGTTGTTCCTATAAAAAAAAAATTTTGTTGTTTTTGCATTAAATACTAGTTAATACACTATTAACAGGTGTCCAAATAATATTGAGAATTACATAAATAAAAAATATTGAGAATCCACTAGTCCAGTTGTTAGAGATTTGGCTATCTGATCACTAAGATGGCTCAACCGTTGCGGCAAAAAGAAATAGAGATTAGGTGTGGAGGAGCTCAATATCCCAATCGTAGAAGGCACCATGCCTTAATATTTTCCTAGAAAATTTCTTAAATTTTTTGATTTGTGAGAGTATAAATGGATTGATGCACAACTTGATAGAAAAGTTTCTATCTCTCGGAAGTGGCAATCGTGCATAAACTCCAAGGGGCAAAAATGGTTGTTAAATCAATAATTTGAGGAAAAGGTCTAACAATTTGAGAAAGTTAGGTCTTTATTCCCTCAAACTAATGTTGTTAGTGTTTCATGTCTTCCTAAGTGGCTAGTTTGATATGTTGTGTGTGTTTGGAAACTCTATAATGATTGTTTTTAGGGTTACTTTATTTTGGCCTGAATTATGATCATATAATTAATTTTGGTCCGTAGTTTCAGAAATTAACATCATGGCTTCAACTATGTAACATATAGACCCAATTGGCCCGATACATGGTTTGACCGTCAATTTGGACGGTCAACACTGCTGATTGTTAGTCAACACGCCATGTCATTGCCTCGTCAGCCTAAAAATCATTAAAAACTTCATATTCAAATTATTTTTCTAATTATTATTATTTATTATTATCAAATTAACCAAAAATAATATTTTGAATTTGAAGTTTTTAATGATTTTTAGGCTGACGAGGCAAATGACATGGTGTGTTGACTAAAGGTCAACGGTGTTGACCGTCCAAATTGATATTCAAACCATGTGTCGGGCCAATTGAGTCTATATGCTGCATAGTTGAGGCGAGGATATTAATTTCTAAAACCACGAGCCAAATTTGATAATATGTTCATAGTTGGGGCCAAAATAAGATATTGACCCTTGTTTTTATGATTATATATAGTGTGATTGAGTTGTTTTCTATCCTTATTGTTTATTGGTATGCAGTGACACAACCAAGACTCAAATTGAAGGGGCTGATCTAGGGATGGCAATGGGTCGGGTTGGGTCGGGTTTTATCAAACCCAAACCCATGGGTTTATCCGCCATAAAAAACCCGTGGTAAAACCCGTTGGGTTTGAAAAATGCAAACCCAACCCAACCCGCTAGGTATCCGCGGGTTCATGGGTACCTGTGGGTTTTTGTGGTAAAAAATTTACAATAACAAGTTTCTTTCAAACTAAAAGTTTAACATCAATTTTCTCATACAAAACACGAATCTAGAGCATACAAGCAAACCGCAAATGATCAATACAAATTGTTCAAAACTAAAGATAAACATCTATAAACAATAAGATTAACTGAAAGCTTCTTCCTCGTCAACTAAGTTTATTCACTCTCCACTTCATAATATCAACTTCATTCTAAACAATTAGAAAGAACAAATTATACATGTCTCCACAAACATAAAGAATATTAGTTGTTTAAGGAAAATATATTATTTAGAATATTAAATATATCGGGAAAGTAATTATATATGTGTGGGCGGGTACCCATGGGGCGGGTTTACCTAAACTCAAACCCAACCCGACCCGGTGAATAGTGTAGCAGGTTTAAACCCGAACCTAGCTCAAAACCCGTCAACACGGGTTTTACCCGTGTTGACCGGATTGGGTCGGGTGGGTACCCGTGGGTTCGGGTTTTGTTGTCATCCCTAGGCTGATCTGAATAGTGATAGTTGAGGACAGGGATAAAACCTTATGATCCATTAGTCTATTTCCTAAATTTGCTGTGAATTTTACATATAACTTTATCTATTTTTCATAGGATATGGTGCTATAGCCTACTTCCCTTCATCCTAGCTCTTTCGCAATTGGTATGTTTTCTTATTTATGCTTCGTATGAAATTGATTGGAAATGGTTCATATATTGTCAGATCACTAATGCCAATACATGTCTGGTACATTGATTATGTAGGATAACTGTGACAACAATCTATGATATAACTCGCATGTTATCGCTAGATAACTTTGTCCTTCTATTGTAGTGACAACAAGTGGGAATAATGATTGATAGAGCGAGATAGGAAGAACTCATTTGCCCATGTTTATAGCAATGTGGAAACTCTAGGGGGACTTTGTTTATGCAAAGCTGTTCCTTTACTCATTTTTACTGCTCTATTGTACTTTTCCTTTCAATTCCTGCTTTACTTTACTTTTCCAAAGCTCTTTCAAACGTGGGCACCTCAACCTCAAACAAATATTTCTAAATGAACGAGATCCTCACGATCTGAGTAGTAGGATTCGAAAGACAATGTGGGAATATGATTATGATTACCTAACAAATTAATTTGATCCCTATCAATAGCGAATTACCCAACAGCTACTATTGATCATCACGTGGTTTAAAACAAAGTGACCCACTATCACATTTGATGTTCGCGTTAAGTACGAAAGGCTTCTCGGCTTCGACAAAAAGAAATACATTGTAAGGACTATCATATCTATTCTTCGGGAATAACTCATACCTCTTTTTTGCGAGGTTCGATGTAGGAATGCACTTTTTTGTTGGCGAGTTTATATTAATATGAGGCAATGAGTGGTCACAAATTAAACTTATTCAAATTGACTTTTATTTTTGCAAAAATATTTCTTAGTGACGACATCAATGTTTGGAGTTTGGGTCATTGAGGTGAGTTAAATGTCTCTGGTGGGGAGATTGAAGAGAGAAACTTCCAAAATTTTCTAGGAGAAGTTGTTACAACGTTTGAAAGGGTGGAAAGCAAGTGCCTTTCATTGGCGGCTAAGGAGACGTTGTTTAAATAACGTGGTTTTGGATCTTTCGGTGATTGTAATATCGCTTTCAGTCGTCTATCAATTCATCTGACTTGCTGAATTGACAAATTGTTCGATTCTGGTAGGGAGCCAAGGATAGAGAGTCAAGACTTCAGTAGGTGGTTTCCAAAATCTCTATGTATAAGTAAAACTAATGGAGGAATGGGGTTTGGGAATTTCTAGGCTTTTAACCAAGTTCTACTAACCAAGATAAGTTGGAGACTACTTGTCGATCCCTAATCACTCTTAGCAAATATTTATAAGGATGGATACTGTTAATTATGAGGGCCTTAATGTAATTAACCTTCGTATAGGTTAAGTAGCTAGGGTTTGGTGTGAGCAAACCTATATAAACTATTGTGCCTGTACCGAAAAGATTATGTCGAATAATAATACCTAAAACCTGAGAGGGAGATCCTCTCCGTGGACTAGTATCTAACGACGATACCACGTTAAAAAAAGCTCTTGTGTTTTTCGATTCAGATAGCTAAATTGACATGGTATCAGAGCCGTGATCAGGGCCTTAGCTTCGTCTCCGAGTTGTGTGTGTCATCTTTCTCAGGATTTCTCTTCGATCGGTTCATTTCTCTTACTGTTCTCACCTTGTTTGTGTTACCTCTGTGCTTTTCGTTGACTATATTATCAGGATGGAGCCTGGACGCTTTGATTGTGTTTTTACGAAGTTTGTTGGCAAGAACTTTGCCCTCTGGGTATTCCAATTTCGGAATTTCATCGAAGGGAAAGGGTTGCTCCCGATTTTGATCGGGACTCTGAAGAAACCAGCGGACACCGCGCCGGCCAAAGAACGCACTGACTGGGCTATGGCTAATGCCCAGGTTGTCTCGTTGCTTGCTAGTTCTGTAGATGTCCCAACTGCACTTGGCCTGCGTCAGTTTACGGCGGCGCATGATATGTGGTCGCACATTTGCAAAACTTATTCTCAAGCTAATCCTTCTCAACAATTTGATCTTGAATTTGCTATTGCCAAGCTGGTTCAGGGGGATTATGATATCAGAGCTATTATCAGGCTAGCCTTAATCTCTGGACCGAATACGATCTTCTTATGGCGTCGCTCTCGCCCGACGCGAATACTCCCCAGGCTATCAAGGAACGTTCGCGGTCTCGTTTAATGCAATTTATTATGAAGCTCCGCCCTGAATATGAGTCTGTTCGAGCTTCCTTGATTCATCGGGGGGGGGGGGTGACTGAATTTGATGAGGTGCTTGGCGAACTGCTACGGGAAGAAACAAGGTTGCGCAGCCAGTCCCAAATTGACAATCACTCCTTTGCTGGTGAGGCAGCTTTCGCGGTGGCAAAGGCGGGGGGAATCGTCCTCAGTTTCAAACCCAAGGAACAAGCAATTTAACCTGTCACTTTTGTCACGAAGTGGGTCATATCCAGCCCCATTGAAAGCAACGTAACATATGCATTTATTGCAAGAGGGCTGGCCATTTCATTTTGGAATGCAAGACGCTGGCAAGGAAGGGCGGTCTACATCCTGGTTATGCGGGCAAAGGTGCATGAGCTGCTTCTCCTAGTAGTGGACAAAGCTATGCTGTTGTGGCGAAGAATTCCCAGCTGACAAGTTCTCCATCTCCTAGTGCTTCTACTGGAAGCAACTTGTCCCCAGACGCTATACGACGTTTGGTTGAGGAAGCTCTTCAAGCAGCACTTCCTCAAGCTTTAAATGTCGCATTTGCAACTGGTGGTGCCTCAGGTAACATTTCTCGTTGGTTATTAGACTCCGCTGCATTTAACCATATGTCGAGTGTTCGTAAATGCTTCACCAAGCTGCGGCAGGTAGCTCATATGACATTACAGGTTGCCAATGGTGATAATGTTCCCGTCGAAGGCTCTGGACAGGTCTTGGCTGGAAATATTCATTTACGTGACACTCTCTATGTTCCCAAATTCGTTCCCAGTCTCGTATCAGTGGGTCAATTGACAGAAGAAAACTTCAGTGTGGTGTTTAACTCTGACGGATGTATCGTACAGGATCGGAAAACAGGGAGGGTGATAGGGACGGGTTATAAGAATGGTCGGGTGTTTGTCCTATATTAAATCAAATGGAGCCTCATATTCAGTATCAGTATTCAGCTCTGAGAAGGGTGATCAATGGCGACAACACTAGTGCGATACAAATTGCAAATAATCCAGTTATGCATGATCGGACTAAGCACATTGAGGTGCATGTTCATTCGACAACTGGTTGCAGAAGGAGCAGTTCAACTTCGGTACCTGAGAACAGATGAGCAGCCGGCTGATGTGCTGACAAAGGTTGTGTCGTCAAGTAGGCACGGGTATCTTTCTTCCAAATTGATGTTGAGAACCCAACATCAATTTGAGGGAGAGTGTTAATTATGAGGGCCTTATTGTAATTAACCTTCGTATAGGTTAAGTAGCTAGGGTTTGGTGTGAGCAAACCTATATAAACTATTGTGCCTATACCGAAGAGATTATGTCGAATAATAATACCTAAAACCTGAGAGGGAGATCCTCTCCGTGGACTAGTGTCTAACGACGATACCACGTTAAAAAAAGCTCTTGTGTTTTTCGATTCATCTAGCTAAATTGACAAATACTTCCGACATGAAGATATTATGGATGCTCAACTCGGCCCTAACCCTCTCTGGAGATCGAGGATATGGAAGAAAACTTATTTCTCAAGGGGTTTCAATGGAAGGCACCGGACCGGGTAGACAATGAGGATGGATAAGTTTCGTTTGTTCCCCCTAATGGATAGTGAGTAGTGAGGGGTATACTTTCGGTGGGATAGGTGCTCAAACATAGGTGCATCACTACGGATGGCTCATGCCTGGGTTTTTTTGAGCATATTGAATCCCTTAATTACCTTTTTTAAGAGTGGAATGTAGCTCCAAACTTCTACGAGGAGACGGCAGCAGATAGGGTCAGTAACCAAGTGGTTATTGACATGTCAGTAATGAATAGGGACCATAGATCTAAAAGGTAGGCAATCGTGTGGTTGGGCCAGACACTGAGTGGGGAAGTGTATTTTTGTTCGTTTATACATTAAATTCTTTATTTTATTTCGTATTTAATGGCTCCACTTTTAAAGAAGGAAAGAGAAATCACTTCTCTGCAACTTTCTATCTTCCTTCTCTCTTCCTTTTTCTCTCCCAATCTCTTTTCCAGATCCTCTCTCTTTCTCTCTTCCTTTTTCTCTCTCGATCTCATTTCTAGATCTAAATCTGCTCCCTTCTCTTCTTCTTTATTTTTTTTTCCATGACGAATAAAAATTGGAGCCACTGTTTTTCATTGCATTTCTTCTCTTCATCATCTCGTTGGCCTCAATTTCGATCTTTCTCATTTTTTTGGCATTTTGGTGTTCTTGATTGCGGAAGAGGAAATGAGAGGCGACACAAGACGATTTTTTTTCTCTACCTCCTTCTGTTTTTTTTTTCTCTTTTAGATAAGATATATTGATATTATAACAATATACCATATGGTATATTGTTATAATATCAATATATCTTATTTGGTGGTAACGAAATATATATTGATATTACCACACTATACCATATGGTAATGTATGGTATTGTGTGGTAACGAATTATATATTGATATTACCACATTATACCATATGGTATTGTGTGATATTACCACACTATACCATATGATATTATGTGGTAACGAAATATATATTGATATTACCACACTATACCAATGGGTATTGGGTGGTAACGAAATATATATTGATATTACCACACTATACCATATGGTATTGGGTGGTAACGAAATATATATTGATATTACCACACTATACCATATGACATTGGGTGGTAACGAAATATATATTGATATTACCACACTATACCATATGGTATTGGGTGGTAACATAATATATATTGATGTGGCAAATTTTTTCATACCATATGGTATGGTCAATACCAGTCAATACCATATGGTATAGACTGGTAATAACTGACAAAAATTTTTATGTCCAAAAAATATCAAAGTGGATATCATTTTAAAGAGCACAATTAATCTGATCTAACTATGCAAAAAAAAAAAATTAAATTCTGACTTAAAACGAGTGAGAAATCGTCCGTTAAAGATTAAAAGAAGGAAAATTAAAAGTTTTTCGAGGAGAAAGAAGGCGCTGATGTGATCCGTTCAAAAGTCAGCGTTAGCAATAAATAGAGGTAGGAGCAATTTTACCTTATTGTCCTTTCGCATTTAATTTAAATAAAAAAAGGACTGACACGTGGCGAGAAGAGAGGAGGTTACTGATGGGTTACTGAACCATCAGTTACTGACCTGATCTCGTCCCCGAGGAGACTAGCTTGAAGCAAGTTGTTATGGGTGTTGATTTTGTGAATATGAATGAATTTTTGGGGCAAATTCCACGGTTGGTCAGTGGGTTTATTAAAAAGGTTCACGTTTGATCAATATAAATATTTAATTTCATTCGTGGTCACTAAAATTAGTTAAATGTTTCAAATTTGGTCACTCTCCGTCCAACTCCGTTAATTCTGTTTGATGTGACAGTCAATTCTCAAAGTTAACCGTTAACTGAGTGACGTGACAATTAAAAAAATATATATAAAAAAATTAATCATTTGCAATTTCCAACTCAGTAAACTAAAATAAAATAAAAACAGAAAAAAATCATTAAACTTCCCATCGAGAAGCTCCGCCAGCCACCGGATCATCCTTCTCAGAGCTATTGGTTCATAAACATGGAGAAGGGATCTTGCTCAGTCTTTTGGCCGCAATTCTTTCTTGTAAGCGACCTGCATACTTTAGCCAATTGCAGTTTGGAAATGGAAACCTTAACTTATAGTATAATACTCTGTTTTTGGTTTTTTGCTCTGTTTCTTTATATGAAAACAGAGATTGGTGATCTCCAAGTTCGTTGAGAGCTATATCAAGCACATGCATCCTTTTAGGCAACGTCAGTGGGGCTCCGAAATCTGCCACCCTCCAAGTTTGTTAGTTGTTACTCATCGAGCGGAGTGAATTTGATTGGGCCAGAATTACCAGCTTGTGACAGGGGAGGACCAGGGGAAGTATGCTGGACTCTGTCCTTAACCAGGAGCTGGGCTGAAGCTGGGCCTCCGTCGACTAGCGTAATAAAAGGAAAAACCAATTAGACTAGAATGGGTTGGGCCTGCTACGCCATGACTAGTGAGCCCAACCTGAGACTCTCCGAAGTCCGAAGTCCGAAGTCCGAAGCAAATGCAAACAGTCAAAACACAAAACGGTAGTCAGTTGGAAGGCAAAGTCGCAAAGTGAGGAGTGAGACCGATGAAGTCTGATACTGATTTCAATTCACCACCGGAAGGGCAGAAAACGGAGGAACTAGGGAAGCTCTGAAAATGGCAGCGGCAACCAACTTAGCAGCATCCAAAGTTGCGGTGGCCCGGCCGGTGACTTTCGTTACCGGCAACGCCAAGAAGCTGGAGGAAGTGCGCGCCATTCTCGGCCAATCGATTCCATTTCAGTCCCTCAAGCTCGACCGTACTTCTCTAAAACTCCCTCTCTTGCTCTCTCTGGTTTTTTTTATGAAAATCCGGACCGAAGAATCAACGCTTTCGGGTTGTTGGGTGGTCATTTTTCGGTCTTTGCAGTTCCGGAGCTGCAAGGCGAGCCCGAAGATATCTCCAAGGAGAAAGCTCGTTTGGCTGCCATTGAGGTAATGCCTAAAACTGCAAATGGGGTTTATAATGTAATCGTCATTGTTGTTATGGGCACTGAGATTTTGTGGCGCTTGTTTGTTGGTGAAGGTGAAAGGACCCGTGTTGGTGGAGGACACTTGTCTTTGCTTCAATGCTCTCAAAGGTCTCCCTGGTACAAGCTCGATTCCTTCGCATTTTCGATCATTCCTAGTGAATTGTGATGGTTTGTTTGGTTATTTGATTGGCCGTATTCCGTTCTTGCAGGGCCGTACATGTAAGTCTGCGTCTTGCCCGATTTTGTAGGTGTAATCATGTTTCTATTTCTCATTTCAATGGAATTTTGACGATGTGATGTGTTGGTTTGTCAATGCTTGAGGGATGTTCTAGATTGGTAATTAGTGGTAAGAGCTAGGGGGTAGTTACCGTTGCATTTTACTTTGATAGTGAGATATTGGTTGCCTGACCTATGAACTTGAGAGCTAAGGTGCTTTTGAATACATTCATCACCTCTAAGATAGTTGACTGCTCTTCAGTTGAATCAATTGTTCCCTTATTCCATTTCTCCTTTTCCCCCCTGGTTCTAATCATTTGATCTGGTTAATGCATCTGGCAGCAAGTGGTTTCTGCAGAAGATCGGTCATGAAGGTTGTACTTCTTACTGTATTCCTAAGCTTCCCTCCTGTTTTGTTTGTTATTATGATCAATAACTTACCCTTGAGTGTTTTCTTTTCTTCAACTTTCTAGGACTGAATAACCTGTTGATGGCGTATGAGGATAAGTCGGCATACGCTTTATGTGCATTCTCTTTTGCTCTCGGACCAGATGTGGAACCTGTAACATTTGTTGGGAAAACCCCGGTATGTCGTCTTTGTGTTACGTTACTGGTTTCTTTGAATCATGTTTGGGTGGTTTTATATTCTGAATGGTGAGGCTTGCCCAGGCCCCAGAGTGGAAAGTTAAGGTTAGCAGCATGTCATGTCTGGTTCACATGGCTTAAAACTCTATGCGACACATAAATTTCAGGGAAAGATTGTTCCTGCAAGGGGACCAAACGATTTTGGATGGGATCCAATATTCCAACCTGATGGCTTTGAGCAAACGTGAGTTGAGCCTCTTTTCTACTTTCATGTAGCTTTGTTTATCCACGTCCAATATGTAAAAGAAAGATGGCGTGACTTGTTGTGGTCCGATAGATATGCAGAGATGGATAAGGAAGAGAAGAATAAGATATCTCACCGCTACAGAGCTCTTGCGATGGTGCAAGACCACTTTGCTGAAGCTGGCTATGTTTTTGAGACCGATGCCTCAACAAAGAGTAAGGCATTATAGCAAACTTACAACTGTCTGCAAACCTCAGTTCTATATTCGGGGAGTTGATTGATTCAGTTCCTCCTTGTTTGAACTTGCTTGCTGTTGTATCAGGAAAGAGGGAGGGGGAGGATGGCACGAAGAATGGAGATGAGAATGGAGCGAACTGAAATCCTATGAAGGAAGGAGAGGGGAAACAGAAAGGTGCGTGTTAGTTAGTTAGGGGTCTTTTCTGGCACCAAAGGGTAGAGCGAAATGAAAGCAAAGAGCTTGACTTTCTGCTTCACTGAGGGACGGAGAGATATGATAACTTGGGAGGTGATTAAGTCGGCTGGTTTGAACGAAGGTACTACATATATATGGGAAGTTATGAGGGATAATGGTATGAGCTAATCAACGAGATTTCCTGCTGCTGCTACTTGTTACTGATGCTAAATAGTAATAGGGCACATTTCACATCACTATTATTGTGTATACTCTAGTGAACTAGAAGCAGCAAAGTCCGGTACGATCGTACCGTTGCACACGCTTATCTTTTTTTTTTTTCTTCTTTTTTATGGTTCACACTCCTATCTTTATAGTGGCATTTTGGATCTATGCATTGCAGAGCACCTGTAGCTTGTGAATTGTGATGCCCTCATAGTTGCAATTTGCAAGCAACCATTAGCTATCCATGTGGTTGTCAAAGGTGATTTGGAGGTCGTGACTCGTGATTGAATGTTTAGGAAACTCTATCATATTGGTCGGTCCGACTGGAAATACCGGATGCCGGACCCAAAAAGGTAAGCTGTTTTCGCGGTACGAAATGCTTGAACCATGGTTAAATCACGGTTTACTACAAACTATTCTATCATTGACTTCTCATTTTTCCTGTATAACCCCTGGTATGGTTTCACAAACCTTAGTGATTCATCAACTCCAGCAAGGTGTATGCCACATTTCCATCGATGGTCCATTTTGGCGCAGGTGGCAAGAGTTGGCTTCTTCTCTTGTAGATTACATAATTTTTAGGATATTTCATTGAGTTATAACTTGAATTGTCCATATAATGACGCGTACACTCCTGACTATGCCTCTTTTAAAGGTATTATCTAATGGCAGTGAAGTTAGCCATCGGCGACGCTAAGAGTAGCGTCCAATGATGAAAGACATATTAGGACTAATGACTAGATCAATATTGCATTCGGTTATGTTTGGTCTAGTCCAAATGTTTATTTGGTTCGTTTTGTTTATATTATAAAATTCATGTAACCAAGGATAAGACAACAATGCTTGAGCTAGAGGTGGCAATTTTGTATCCAATCCACCAATCATTCCAATCAACCCACTAAAATATTCAATTAATCTAGTCCATTTAATCCAAATCCATTTGGATTTATGGATTGTTGAAAAATTACAATTTAGTACCTCTTTTTTATATTTTACAATTAGTATCTAAATATTATTTTTCAATAAAAATATCATTGAAAATTTATGTTTTGGTATAAAAAATTTAATTATAACATTTTAGTACCTAACTGTTCAAAACATTTCATATTGGTCTAATTCATAGATGCCACTTGGATCCATGATCCAATTCACCAATTCATTCAATTCAATCCATAAATCCAATACATTTGTCACCTGTACATGGTATCGTCACAGCCCCAACCATTCAACGGTGTCTTCTCAACTTATTTCCGTGCGTAAGAGTAACTTAGAAACCGTGCTACAACTGCCTAATTGACCATCCCTAACAAGTTTTTGGCTTTGCATACATGATATACATGCAATGTGAAGAACTTGGCGTTGCGGCATTTTACATTGCATTACAAGCCTAGAAAATACTGAAGGAGAAGGCAGTATATAAATTGGCGGGTCAAGTATGATATTCAAGCAAGTGACTTTACGAAGAACGTTAGAAGAATAAATTATTCATGGTGAGGCCTAATGTGGAATGGTACCAACTGATCTGGGGGAGATATTCTATTCCAAAACATAGTTTTTTGAGCTGGGTTATAACTCGAAATAGAATTACTACTCTAGGACAGTTGCATAGCTGGGGGAAGGTGGCAAGTGCAGATTGCTTACTTTGTTTGGTTCATGTAGAAGACAGGGACCATCTCTTTTTTAACTGCCAATATACTTCTCAGGTGCTGAAGGGATGTCTACTCATGCTGCATTTACCTTGCCCTCAGTTAAGCGGGTATGATGCTTACTTGCAGTGGGCGGTTAGAACATTCAAGGGAAAGAAAGCTGTAGCCATGATAGGACGGTTGGTTTGGAACCTGGCAGTGAGTTTGATTTGGAGGGAACGCTGTAGTAGATTGTATGGTGGTTCTGCTGTACAATCAGGAGAGTTGATCAGGATGGTTCGAAGGACAATTGAAATGGCCAGACTTGATAATGCAGCTCTGGATGTTGATTGTAGTGTAGTTTTCAGTTAGTAAACTTTGTGAGTAGTATAGTTCTTGGTTTATTGTATTGTAGTGTGGTAGAGAGTGGAAATTAGCAGTAGAGATAGATAGCTGCTGCCTGTAAAAGATCCAGATGTGTTCCCCTTTGATCTAAAAGGGTCACATAGAGCTTAATAAAAATTTTTGATATTCCCATAAAAAAAAAAAAAATTATTCAAGAGAAATGGAGAGGAACGACGACTGCCTGGCTGGCTGGGTTAAGACTTTGAGATGCATTGACGAGCAAAATCGGAAGAAGAGAGGAGAGAAGGAAAGGAGAGTCCAAAATGGATTCCAATCCAAATAGCTAGCTGACAAAGCAGGGCACGGCTACAGAAAATTATACACCAAACAAACAAAACTTTTGATCAGAAAGTTGGGTTTACGTCGTTTGTGGCAGCTTTTTGAACCAGCATGTTCCGCCGCATAATACGTGGCTCTTTCCCCCATCGGTTTCTCTGCCATCCAAATTCATTTCCCCCTCCACAACCCTAAATCGCCATCATACCATGTAACGGCAAGTTTTTTCTTGCCACCCACTCATTGATCTAAGCTAGAAACTATTAAAATGAATTAGTAAGTTCCAATAACTCGAGTGGTTGGATGAAATTTCAAACTCAAGCAGCTCAGATAGGCTTGGAGTTTGCTCAGACACACAGGTCCAGACACCATTGAAACACCATTGCTTAACATAAATAGATGGGATAATCGGAATTCGAACAAAAGACCTCTCAATCATAGAAAATTATAATACCATGTCAATAACAAGAGTTGTCCCGATAACTCGAATTACGGATTCTTGACAGAAAGGACTAACCCAGTCGTAGAATCACCAAAGGGGAGAGTCTCTCAACTTTAAAGAGGTCAACTGTATAAACCGTGAAGAATTTCTGAACAGGGACGCAACAAGCTATGCCAGGCTGCTGCAATCCTGCCTCTCTCTCTCTCTCTCTCTCTCACCGCCCTGATTTTGTTTCTTCTTCATGCAAAAGAATACAAACCCACTCTTTTGGCTCTATTATTTAACACTACAGTAGTAGCAGTCCAATAATACCATCGAGATTGAAAGGTGAAAAAAAATCAAATATTAAGCCTGCTCTGCCCGTTAAACAACAAGGAGAACCCAACAAGATCACGGCATTTTAAAGCTCTCTGTTCCGTCCTTCTTCTACCTGCCAACCTCTTTTTCCACTACTGCAATATTTGCTATCGGTAACGACGGACGGACGGACGTAGTAGTAGTGGCTTTTGTCTCTATCTACTCTGCCTTTTTGCTCTCTCGTGTCAATGAGTCAAAGACAGGACAAAAAGTTATTAACTGGAAGTAATAGCCCATTGGGTGATTAGGAAAAAGTTAATTAGTTGGTGTTTTGTCTAAAACAATGTATAATATGCTCATGTACAAAGGCACCAAAAGAGTTTCTTCAATCTTCCATCTTCACCTGCAATTCAACTCCCTTCCATCACTTTATGCAACCCACTTTCACTTACTCTAATAATATATGCACGTTAGCATGTAGTGTATGTAGATATATACGTGTTTAATATATTACTTGTGCTAAATCTGATGCTTGTTTTTTCTTCTTCTTATACAACTATACTTGGGCATGGATGAGAAAGTTGACCAAACCTCTTTGACCTTTTCTGCTTCAAACTGTTTGATGTGGATATTATCCATTCCGTAGTAGTGTGAAATGAAGCATGAGTATAATTTTTGCTCCATTTTGTTTTGGACTTGTTAAGTCTCGATTTATCTTAATATCTAATTACATTTACCCGTTTCATGCCTGTGCCTGTATAAGTATTACTCAAACATGACTCGGTTTAATACGAAACACGTATAAGTATCGAGGTATATTCGCCCACCCTACCCGTTGCTATTCTTATATGTAGGCTTCGAATGTTTATTGGTTGTCATTTACCTTGTTATCCTTTGGACAAAATAGTTCACCTACTCTTTGACCCTTGTGTATAATTTAATGCTTGATACTTAGTTATAGGTTTAGCTAGGCTGCCTCGTATCATTTTGACCAAATTATGATTCCAACTTTATGATAAAGGGAGAGGAGGGAAGAAGTGGCAGAATTTTGGTGGGATATGAATCAGTTCGAATCTAGTATTTGCTTTCACTAAATCTAATGTTTCAATCATATTAATGGACTGCACCTAGTTTTTTTTTTTACAATAACAAAGAACGCAATTCATGTCTTCACTTAAAATTTTCATCTTATAGAGTGAAATGGAAAAATTGATTTATTTCATTTTATTATTCTCTTGCAAATCTTTCATTCCCCAAGAAAAAAGAAGTGTCAGTTAATTTATTACCAAATGCATTTATTCTATTTGATTTTTATTTTCATTGAATTTCAAACCTAACGAACCAGGAGGGTATGGCCCCTGTCTGGCACAATATCATAAATCTCTGGAATTTATGTCTGTTTTATTTAATTATGACATTTTGTTTTGTACTGAATCAACTATTTTTACATATATAACATATCAATTCATAGCTAGGGACATGAACAATTTACAATATCATATCTGCATTTTCTTCCATTTGGGTATTATATGGAGCTACTACTAGGGTGGGCATCGACAGAGTCAGTTTAAAACAAAATCGAATCGATATAGTAACAGACCAAAAACAAAGAAAAAATGAGAACCAAAACTGAATAAAAATAATACTCGATCCAATCCGATTCGATTCAAATAACGATATGATCCTACCCGATCTTGTGTGAACCAAATCGTTACCCACCCCAGCTACTACTACTACTGCTGGTAGACAGGATAGAGACAAAACTTGACATAATTGAATTTTTTTTTTTTTTAACGTGGAACACCCTCCCCGATCACCACTTTAGTGATGTCGGAGTCGGGTCAAATCACAGGGCTGCCAACCCGGTTGCACGACCGAAGCCACATACAATTTACCTCCGGGAACACCCAGAAGGCGGAATGGTGGCTTGAACTCGTTACCCCGACATCACAAGCCAAACCCCATCCCTACCACAAGCCATAATAGAATTTTTGAATAAGATATATTTGTAAGTTTCTTTCTCAATTAACTTCCTAAAAGGAGTGAAGGACACTATGAAGCTAGCAAAACAGTAAGCAGCATTAGGGTAGCTAGATGTAGAAAGGTAGATAAGGCAGCAGAAGACATGGTATGATGCAACACCCTGCTTCTTCTGTCACATACTACTACACAATAGATAGATAGATCGATCAAAAGATATCATAAAAAAGCAAGATCTTCTCCTTACCAAATGAAGCAAAAGACCAAATCCCACAAGAAAGCAAAATTTACCCAATTCTTGCTTCACTCCCACTTACCCCACTCTTTAAAGTCATCCCCATGTTTTTACCACTATTAACCATAATTCAATGCAGAAGAACCCAAGCAAGAAAGCAAGTAAAAGACCCTTCTCTCTCCCTCTCTCTCATTTTTTTACTAGAAAGAAGAAAGCCTTTTTGGGTTTGCCTTTGACTTATATTATCACTGTTCTCCATTGTCACTTCACACAAGCCATACCCAAGTAAGACACTTTTCAATGGATGGACTCATGTACATGAAAGGATGTAAAAGCCAGGCTAGCTAGGTGCCTACTGTTCTTTCTCTGTGAAAAGACCAATACCCAACATTTTGTTCAACTTTCTGTACATTAATCATGATCATTCACATATAATTATACTCATCATGATTACATAATGATGATGATTATGATAATGACCCAACAATGTGAAGAAGGAGATTAGCTTAACTGATTTAACAAAATTAA